AAAAAAAATTTAATGTCTATTACTCTATTTATTAAATTTAAATTTAAGATTTTATTTAAATAATATTTTCACCCATATGTATGATTTTATTTTATTTAGACTTTATTTAATACAAAAAATTAAATAATCAAATAAGTAAAAAATCACACTCAAATGTTAAATCCCTTGCCATATAATCATGACATGGCAATATTTTGCCATCCAAGCAGCCAAGCATAAACGGCAGTTAAGCCATGCGAGCAAGTCCAAACGGCAGTTAAGTTGGCGTAAGAAGAAGGGCTTAATTGCTTTGATAGCAGAGTTCAAGGGCTTATACGCATCAATTAAAGTTTAGGGGCTTAATAGTGATTCTGGGGTTAGTTCAGAGGCTTAACTTATGGTTTTGCCTTTTCGAAGTTGGTGAAACAAAGCAACGTCAGGATCGGTGCCAATGTGCAGGCATATGTGAGGAGAAAATCAATGGAGAAAAAGAAGGGGTAAATATGAAAATTCGATCTTATTCCACCTAATCCCATAGGGGAGGTGGAATACATTTTATCAAAAGAGGTGTGGATCGGATAAAATGTAGGATGATGCGTGTCCCATTCCTTCGTTCCACCAAACATGGGAAATAGCAAAGACAAGACAAACTTTGGTCCTATCCTGTATTGTATCCGGCACTCCAAACGTGCCATGAGTTCCTTGGTTGACATGAAAGAGGTCCAAATGTTCCCCAAAAAGGGTTTAGAGAAGGGGAGGAAAGGGAGCAACAGTCCCCCAAAGCGTTAATAGTTAGATTTTTAGTTTTGAGTTTTCATGTAAATAAGGATACAACGTTTGCAAACTTTACTAATTGAGGCTATGACTTTTGTACCTTACTAATTGAGGCTATAACCTTTCAAAAATTTCTAAGGATATGATCTTTCTACAATTTTACTAAGGAAGGATTAAGTGGGAGTCCATGTTGATGTGGCTAACGACTTTCATTTGAGGGCCCCACTTTTTTTGCTGACATGGTTAAAAATGATGTTGTGGACAAAAGACATTAGAAAAGAAATAAAAAGGCCATGTAGGCAAAATTCTTGCTTTAAAGTGGAATCAAACATAAAACACAAACTTTTCGTCTTTCAATGGAGTATAGGGAATCAGAAAAGGGTGGGGAAATCCTTGAAATTAATGTGGCAAGAAGAATTCCTCTGAGATCATTTACTGACAATTAAAGTTGATTGATTCTCAATTTCTCACACCAACCAAAATAGAGAACGCAGAGAATTCAACTTCTCTATCTTATCTGTACTAATATGCAGGACCACAAATCCTTGAAGGACGGCTTGGTTAATAAGATATTTTCTACTTTTCTTGCAATGTCAAGGTAAAAAATTCTTACTTTATTCTTTTTTTTTTATTTGAATATTGTGCACAATATGTGCTTTTCTATTTTTATCCACTTGGTTTAATTTGTTTCCTTTTAAAATCTTGGTCAGTGTTGAATAGTTTATGGAAATACATATCATGGCCACAACAAAACACGTTAACCAAAATTTTGCTTTTTATTGATTCTCTTTTCTTTATTTCTCTGCCCCGCTGAGGTCTTGCTCTACACTTTTCAATTTCATAAAATGGAGTGCAGTGAACAAACGTAGACAAGCTACTCCCCTTGAAAAAGTTATCTGGATGGCCAAGAGTGCTCGGAACAGAACCTGCAAAAAATAGGTGAGCCCTTTCCCTTAAACAAGTTATTTGAGTAGGTAGGAGTATCCAAAACAAAATCTTGCAAAAACAGGTATACTTTTCCCTTTGAACAGGGTATCAAATATAGGCAGGTGTAGTAGGAATGGAATTTGCAAAACTAAATGAGTTCTTACCCTGGAACATATTGAATTTACTTAGACCAAATAAAAGAATTACCATCATGCCTCTACTGAACTAGTTCTGTAAGAAACATGTAATCTAATTGTAACATAATCATATGTATAAGGAGGTAACGACTTAAGTAACTTAATTGTCATTTCCTTTCGCTGGAAGTAAGAAACCCTGAGTTCAAGTCGCATGGCATGCGAGTGGAGTAGGATAAAAGATGGGAAATGGTTGCTTCCCATTGTGCAACCAAGATTAAAAAAAAAAAAAAAATCATATGTATAAGGAACTAATATTAATAAAAATTCATCCTTATAATAATAATAATAATAATAATAATAATAATAAACTTTCTCACATTAAGGCAAGGGCATTTTTCCTTACTAAACTTTCTCATGTGCAGTACTTCATTTTTCTACATTTCTAGTCATATTAAAATAACTTTCCATTAATTCTTTTTCCAAAAGCAAAGGAGCTTTCCATTAATTATATAAAATCCATGCAAGATTCATAAACAGAATAGATAAATCACATTTTTAACTTTAAATTTCAAACCCACATTAAACAATATGATGATGAATTATGTAAATTGTGGTAGTTAAATACTTTACCCATATATGAATGATAAGCGCGTGAGTATCTCGGAGGTCTAGATCAGAACCCTTGCATCCCAAGGGATCAGAACTTACTTGACATTGGAGATGTGCTAACTTATGCCTACAACTTGAGGGTCGATAAGATGATCTAGAACCTGACATGACTTTCTATGGATTTTGAAAGCCTAATGGAGAATTTGGGGAAAATGGAGAAAGGGGGAGAGAAAATCTAAATGCTTAATGAATTTGTGTAAATCCGAAGGTCAAAAAGAATGAGTCTTTTTTTTATAGATGAAATAGATCCAAGTGGAATTTTCCATACTTCGCCTTTGTTTTTTTTCTTTTTTCTTTTCTAATGTCTTTTGTACATGTCATCATCCACATCATCATTTTTAACCATGTCAACAAAAAGAGTGAGGCTCTCAAACAGAAACTGTTTGATATTGTTGGCCACGTCAATATGTATATCCACTTAATCCTTAGTAAAATTGCTTGATGTCATATTTTTAATTAGAAACTTTTAAAATATGATAGTTTTGATTAGTAAGAAACAAAAGTTGTAGCCTCAATTAAAAAATTTGGAAAGGATGTATTCTTATTTATATGAAATTGGTTTAAAATCGATTAATAGTAATTTGGTCCGTCAACTTTTAGATTTATACCAAAATTATTTTTAATTTCAAAAAGTACCAAATTAATCTTGAAATTTTTGGTATCAAAATATTTCTTTTGTTAATGAAAAGTGTCATTTGGTTCATTATTTTATCACAAAATCAATTTTTTTAAATATTAATAATGTATAAAATTAAATAATTATATTTTTGCCACCGTAGCATTTTTTCATCTACACATTAAAAACCAACTTAGTCCTTGAACTTTGAAAACAAATAACATCTTAGTCCTTAAATTTTGTTATATGTACCAATTTGGTCCTTTAACTTTGATACTATGATGGCAAAAATATGATTGTTTGATTTTAAATGCTATTAATATTTTAAAAATGAACTGATTTTGTGGCAAGATAAAGAGCTACATAACACTTTGTTAACGGGAGGGCTATTTTGGTACCAAAAATTGAAATTTAAGGACAATTTTGGTATTTTATAAAGTTCAAGGATAATTTTTGTTCAAATCTAAAAATTGGGGGATCAGATTGGTATTTTAACCTTTAAAAATTTTTTCACTAAATCCGAACCCTTCCCAATTTAATTGATTCAAATTCAATCATGATTCATCCATCACTAATTAACCTATTGGCCATCCCTTGAGAGGGGCAGTGCTTAAGACATCAAAATCCTGGGTCTAAACCCAGGCAATCACTCCCCACCCTAAGTTTCCCCAGTTAAAAAAAAAAATTCAATCATGATTCTGATTTAAAAATGTTTTGATTTTGATTCAAAAACTTAAGAGTGTCAACTGCAGGGATTGGAACGATTCATAATGCATTTTCAAATGGCCATGTAGTTTGCATGGATTTTGGTGCCAAGAACAAACAGTAAGAATTTGACTCTACTACATATATGAAAGTCCTTATAAATTAGTAAGTAATTTACCCTTACATAGATGAAACCTTTCAGAAACCGTTTAACAAATATATTATAAATCTGCCATGTGATGTTGGGGCTAGAATTTAAAGAACTTGATGTTCCTGCTTGGCACATGTGTCTAACAAAATTAATAAAATTTTATTATAAAAAAGTGTTTAGTAATCTAAAACAATTCAAATTATTTTGGGTTGCACAACAATTTAGCTATTGAATGGATGCAATCTCTTGATACTTAGGGTTCCCTTCCCCATCCAAACATTCAAGAATTCTCATTTTGTACTTTGGAACTGTTTGGAGTGCAAAATAGGGGAACTCATTTTTACATAGCTTACGACTAAATTTTATTTTTATTTTATTGGTAATAGACTAAATTTTAACTTTAAACATATATAGAGATAACCGAAATTTACCAGGATCAAATGCAATATAAAAGAGATCTTCCCGTTGGGGTATGTGCAATTCAAGCCATCAAATGGCTTGAAATGTTATCTGTTACTTTCTCTATGGTCTGTAACTAAAGCCCACAAGCAGGCCTTCTGAGACTAACTTTAGACTTTGGTACAGTGGTTTAAAGATAGTCGTTGATTGTTTTATTTAAATTGCTATATGATGGTAGTAACGTAAATTTGTTAATTTTTAAACCATTACAAATTGTGTATTTAGTAAAATTTTGTATTTAGTGATTTGAGATTAATTGATGGTGGTTTGGGTTTAAACTGTTAGTGATTGAAAATGTTACTTTAAAGCTTGTTTGGTATAACAATTAAAATTTAATGGATAATGGGTAATAAGTAGTAGGTAATATGTGGCGATAGGAAATAACAGATGACAAATAGTAAAAAGTATGTACCAAATAGTGGATAGCAGATTTTGATTGATATAATCTGTAATATCCCAAAATTTTGGGGTATTTTAGCATTAAATTGGGGACTTATTTGAGGAAAAATATTGTTTTGGGGCTTAATCGCAAAATTTTAAAAAGTTGAGGGGCTAAAAAGAAAGGAAATTTGGATAAGGATCAAGGCTGATATTTTTGACCACGTGTTTTGCTTTTCTTCATCTTCATTTTTCTTCTCCCCGATGCTCTGCCTCCCCGACGACCCCCTCCCCCCCGTCACCGCCACCCATTTCCGGCTGGAAATTCGGCAAAACTTGGGGATTCTCCCTATTTTCTTGTTCTAGAACACCTATTAAACCCAGAAAATCCCAGAACTGTTCTGCGTCTCCCTCCCTCTGCTGTCCGTCGGCTTCAGCATGTGGGTTTGAATTTCTGGGCCTTTTTCGGTAAGCCACAGCCATAAACTTCACCTTTTCAACTTTAATTTGGCTTGGGTTTACCTTGAATTGTGTTTTGGTTTTTGGATTGGGTAGCCGCGAGTTCCCCTGCAGAATTTCTTCTTCTCTGCCGCCGGCTTCTTCTTCCCCTGTTAGCTCCGGTTCTTGCCGGAAAATTCTGGTAAGTTTCCGGCTCTTCCAAGTCCAATTTATCCATGTAATTGTTGCTTTGTGTTGAGTGGATTTTCTGCTTTTGAATTGCCCTTTTTGCTGTTCGAAAATGGAAGGAACTTAGGTGAAATTGTGCTGGAAGGTGGGATGAATTTTGGAAGCTTTAAGCTATGTTTTTAAGTGTGGTTTAAGTAGGAAATTAGCTTGAAATGGGTTGTTGTGATTTTGTGTGAAAATCTCGTGAGATTAGCTATGGTTTTGCTAATTTTTGGAAGTGGCAGTACTGTTCACGGCGTGAGCACTGTTCACGGGGTACTGTTCACGTGCACTGTTCACACACCGAGGGTTAACGATTAGCGGAGATTTAAATGTTTAGTTTGTGATATAAGAACGAATTTGGAGATATTTGATCATGTGGAGATTGATAGGAATAGCATCGGGATTGGGAGTGATTTTAATGATGATTTCAGTTTGAATTTGTGATAGTCCGGTATTAATTCTGAGGTGTTTTGATTAGGTTCCCGATCGTTCTGTCAGTTAGCACTGAGATTGAGTGCTCGGTTTTATGCGAATGAGGTAAGTAAATTATGGTAAAGCCCTTCGATTTTAAAGCATGTTTTAAACTGTTTTTGAGATGGTGGCAAGGTTCAAATTGATTTTAAATTGATTTTATCAGCATTTGAGTGTGGTTAAATTGAAATGAAAATTGTGATGATTTCAATGAGAATTTCATTATTTTCTGGAATAGAGCATGCCTATTTGGAATTGACTGAACTGTTTTGATGAACTGAGAGTTTGCAAATTCTGCGGTTTCTGTTAAATCCATGTTCACATGGAATTTTTTGGTTATTTCTGAAATTTGGGATTTCGATTGTGAATTACGGATTTTGATTGTGAATCCTGCATGGTTTTGTCTCTGATATGGTCATGATTTCCGATCCCCGCTAGTGGGTGTGTAGCACTTCCGATCCCCGCTAGTGGGTGT